ACTGTTTTTCCACTGACCCATAAAAATCACCAACATTAAATTGATTTTTCTCTGATGATGATTTTCCTGTCTGAATAATAATTCTTCTTTGGAGTGTAATAATAATATTTGATACTAAAAGATCAATAGTATTTAATGATGAATCATTCTCAATTAAATAAAATAATCCATCTCCATTGAATAATTGAGAAGAATTAAATTGAGTTAATTTTGATATGATTGCGTTATTTATATTAATAATTGATGATTCAATTGAAGACTTAATAACTTTAAATTTTGTAAGTGCAGATAATAAAGCATTTATTCTTGTTTCATTATCATCAATATATTTCTTTACTTCTTGTTTAATTGCTTCATACATATTACCATGTTTATAATCAGTTACTGTAGTTGGAATAGATACATAAACTAAATTTAAAAATCTAGGAGCACTAGATAAATTTGATGAAGATTTCATAAATAGTTTAATATAATTTCTTATTTTTGATTGTGAAGAAAGATTTATATTTGTATTGTCTGAATGAAAAGATAAATTCTGTGAATGAGGATAATCATATGAATCATATGAATCATCCATTACTATAGATTCACTAGAATCAGTATCACTTACCATTGATTGACTTGAACGTATTGGTCGTGCTGGTTTTCGATGGATTGTGTTTGATTCACTAGTAGACATCCTAATTGGTTTGGTATTCATCTATAAATAATTAGATCAATATGACACATTTATATTGTCAACGATATTTCACTATAACAAGAGAAAATGCAATCGCAGATTTTAAAACATATAAATGGATAATAAATTTACCATGGGAATTTATTACATCAGAAAATTATCCTAAAACAATAGAAGTAATGAATTTTGTATATTTTAATTTGAATGGGCAATTAGATATTGGAGTTAGTTGTCATGCTTCATTTAATTATGATTCACCAGAAAATGATCAAATGATATGTTTTTCAACATATGGAAATATGACACCAAAACATTTCAATATTAATAAAAATATAACAAGAATAGAAATATGGTTTAAAGATTATAAAGGAAAGAGTATTTTCCCAGTTGGACTTTGGGATGAATATTTTATCTTAGAACTTAATTTACATTATTAAATGGAAGCAATTGGTTCAAAATATTTAAATAAAAATAATATTTTAACAACACGTTATTTCAACAACAACAACACATTTTATCTCGATACAATTAAAACAACAGATGGAATAACAACAATTAATGTTAAGAATATAACAACAAATGAAGAAATAGATGAAATGAAAGAGAAAATGAAAGAAACAAATACATATATTAATGATATTCGAGATGATGTATCGCAATTATCAACATTAAATACAACAAATATGAATGAAATTAATAATTTAACAAGTCAATTAATATCTTTATCATCTCTTGTTAATACTTCATTATATTCACCATTTTATTCTAATGAAGAAGCATTATTACAAATGACATCTTTAACATCTTACATTAACACAGAAATATCAAGAAATACAACAATTAAACAAGCAGATATAATTAACACAATTGGAATTAAAGATTTGAAGAATATTACATACACATTTCCTTTATCAACATTAATGTCATGGGGAACTGATTCAT